AGTTCCTTATAAGTTCATAATTTTTATAAGTTCCTTCATAAGCTGTTCATATAAAACGATTACTTTTTTAGCTGTGCAACATTTGCGCTCATTTGTACCTCATTAGTACTTGAGATCATCCCAAGGAATAAAATTCATAAAATAAATAGGTACATATATATTTTTTTGTCTCATTTAATTATCTGGCGGAATTCCATTCTCATTAGAGGGAAGATGAACAATGTGTCCCCCCCCCCCTGTATGATGGGGTTTTCCTAATTTATTGCATCACCTGGGTGGTCCCATTAGAAGAAAAGAAAGGGAAGGAATACTCCCGAGGGCGAAACATTTTCTTCAATTTATATTAAAGATGAGCCTCTGTTTTTTCCACCCGTTCTCTTTTTCTCCCTGAATAAACTCTCCTTTGTTCTTTGCCGACTTGGTTTCCCTTTTTTCTTTTTTGTTATCAACTACAAAATATTTTGTTTGTCTTAAAAGGCAACCGAAAAAAAGAAGGCGAAAAAACTTTTGATTTAATTTTTATTGACAGCCTGTTGATTTGTTTATATGAAATAATTTGAAACGAATGATTTAACTATTTGAGTTAATCGAAATTTGTTAGGTTTAAAAAAAACTCCGCGAATTAAGCATTTGAAATAGCCAACATAATGGATAGAAAGGTGTGAGGAAGGTTTCGAAAATATTTTGAATTTTGTATGTAATTAATTTTAGGTAAAAATATGGTTTCAAAATAGGCGAATGAAGCATAAAAAAGAATGTAAAGGTGAAGTGACAGCAGTAAATGAAAGTGATGAAAGCACCGATGAACAGATACCAACATGACAAGAATCATTGGAAGAAATAACTTCCTGCTAATTATGGTACCAAAAAAAATTTCCTTACTGATATTATCAGTATATTCATCGAATAGGAGAAATGTTATCAGCTCAAATGCGTGAAACCAACCAATTAGTCTCAACCATAGCGGAATATACAATCCATCTTCCATCGATCAAGTTAATATTTAACGATCAATTTGAATATATATCTAATGATACAATCCTTGGCGGTGTTAACAACGAATGCGTTCGACAAAAAGATCTCAACAAAAATTCTCGTAATAATAACTTTTTCCTTTTTCATTCGTTTGCTTTCTTTAATATATTATATCATACCACTCTGTTAAAATATTTAAATGGAATTTTAAAAATTTTGAAAGAGGGAGGAATTTCTCAAATTCTTATTATTTTATCTGGAAAGCTTTTTCTAAGACAAACAGGATAAATGTCCAAAACGGAAAATCAATAGACGGAAATATGGAATATATACCGGAGAATCATACCAGAATTGGATTTAAGTCCACTGATAACAATATCTTACTTGTAATTGTGTAATTATTAATTTCCACTTTCTTTTCTATATTGTCAGTCTTCATTTTTAAACCATAGATTGTTTAAATAATTTAAATTTTTTGTATGTTCCAATTGCTATACATCAACAGTAAGTGAGAAGTAAATTTTAGGCTAGTAGAATTATATTGGAAGATTTCGAGTTCCAATTACATTTGTACAAAGTAAAATGATAATCCTGTGCTTTTGCGAAATTGAAAATTACTGCCATAAGCTTGAGATTTTGCCAAGCTAGCGATTCTACTATCATAAAATTTGTACTACCTCTTTACTAGCTCTCTTAAGCAACCATGAAGAAGCAACTATGATTTCGCATTGCTATAAGCAATCGTTGCAGTTACTTCATATAAAGACTTATATTATGTTTCGCAATTGATTAATAAAAAGATGGGATCAGATGTTGAATGGAAAAATAGTAGAGAGTGGGAGTAAATTAAATTGTTAAAGAGAGCAAATATGAATAATTTAAATTAATCATTTTTAACTAATCATCTCTGATCAGGTTGTCTGAATAACTTTTGACGTTTGTAAATGTAATTGATTAATTAAATTATCTTCAGGTTGAAATTCCAGTGATAACTGAAAATTTTGATAACGAATAATCTAAAAAGGAATTGATGCACAAAAATTAGTTTACAAACAAGCATAATAAAATATTTCAACTTTTAGTAAATAGGTTTTAGTTGATTTTTCTTTTAAATAAATTGTAGAAATTTCTAGTAGTTGTATTATTATTATCATTATTAATATCTTTATTATTATTACTGCTACTACTATTATAGTTAATACTATTATTATTAATATTTATTTTTTATTATTATTAACTATTATTATTATTATTATTACTACGATTATTGTCATTATTAATGCGTGATACATGGTATATATCGTGAACATGACGTTTGATATTGCGGGCTTTTTTGAATTTTATTTTAAATCCTTACTTTTCATTTCGCATTTTCATTTGCATGTATGTTTGTTTACACTTTTTTTTGTTTACTCTGTTTTTGTTTATTTGTAATTTTTTTTTCACCGTTAATTCATTATTTTCGTTGTATATTACAAAATAAAAATGTTTCAAAAAATATATATATATATATATATTTATGAATGTTTTAAGAAACATCAAAAATTTAAAAATCTAAATTTTCCCCAAATTGCCTAACAAAGATAAAATGCAAATTAATGAATTAAATTAATTAAATGCATTTAACTGATTTTTAGTATTTCGATAAGATTAAATATTACATCTTAAAATTTCACTTAATTAGACTATAATTCTAATGAAGTATCATCACTGGAAAAAAAAATTATTTACAGCTATAAATGAAAAGCCTGATGATTAGCTGTGGCTAAACCTAATATGATAAAAGATTTAGGATTTATTGTTCAAGATGATGGAAATTCCTCGTTATTTGCATATCATTATAGTTTTTTGGCGAAATATTGGCCAAATCATTTATTATGCTAAACGATAATAATGGTTATTGGATTACAAAATGATATATCAATCAATGAATTGAAGGTAGAATATAAAATTTTATAGTGAATTGATAAGGTGGAATGATAAGTTTGTTGAAATTTTGAAATTAAAAAGCTTTTATTAAACTAATTCGTTTTTTTCACTCAACTTTTCGCACTAAGGCTACATTGATCGAGTTCATTAGCCGAACGTTTTGATTTCCTGCCCTTCTTATCATTTTTACCATCACTCTTCTTTCTCCCTGCAATAGATTTATTGATAATTTAATTGTGATAAATTTAAAATGAAATCTAAATCATAAATTTAAAATGAAATTTAAATTTAATTGCCTTTTCCTTTACTCTTTGATTTCCTTTTCCTTCCTCCTCCTTTTTCATTTTCTTCGCCATTATCTTTTTTCAATTTCTCTTTCTCTACAGTAACATCTTTCTGAAATACAAAAATTTAAAATGATTAAAATTTTGAATTTAAGATAATTTAATTAAAATTTTAACTTATCATGTTCTCCACTGTTTTTTAATTTCTTTTGAAATTGAAAAAAAAAAGGAAGGACATTTTCATCATAATCGGCTGGTTTATCGCCTTCAAATGCTGGAAAATCATATGGGCATGGTCGATTAACGAAATCAATATTGTAGTCGTGTTTCCAATCAATTTGAAAATTTCTCATATCCTTGGGAGGTTGTCCATATACCATCCTAAAAGACAGAATGAATACCTTAGGTATAATTGAGGGACCTTGCAGAACTTTTTTAACGCAATGATTTGAAATAATTGTACAATGAAAGTTTTAGTTTTAATTTTTTTCATAGATGAAAAAAAGTTAATTAAAAGTTTATATATAATTATTTAATGGAATATCAACTAAGAGTTGTAGTTAACACTTAATTTTTTTTGATAAGAATTTTTTGATTTCGGTACTTTCTTTATCTTTCATTGGTGATATAATCAAATCTATTGTTTCAGATAAGGATATATAAGGAATAAATCTATCGATAATCTTAAGATGAATTAAGTGAAAAACTTTGATAGTTTGCACTGTGAGCCATTTTTGATGTCACCGCAGAACTGCTAATTGCTTCCTTCATATGTAGATGATCAGAAAATTTGATTCTAATCTAGCTCAATATTTTTCCGATTTTTGAAAAGACGGAGTTCAAAAAAAATTAAATCTAAATTATTTCAAGTAATTGTAGCTGAACTTTTTCAAAAATTACGGTTGCAATTGATTAATTATTATAAATAATAGTTGTTAAGAAAGCTTGATTAGTTAGAATAAATTTAAAGTAGAAAATTATCAGTTGAAATTCAATCTATCTGTTTTCACTTCGTTTTCTTGAATATATGCTCCACAGCGGTATCACCCTTTTGATCATTTTCAGTATCTAGCTGTTTGTATTCATCATCCGGTTGTCCCTGATAATCAAGATATGGAAACAAGTGATCTTCCAATCCTTTTTCCTCATCATGGAATATATTCGACGAGCAACAACCCATTTTGGGAGAGTAACGTAGATTTTTTTAGCTTTGTAAAACTAGTTGCCGTGGTGATTACAAATAAGAGCTAAAAAATTTCAATTTTGTATGATTGCCATCTTTGAAGTGCTTGGGAACTTAAATATTACAGACTTAAATATTACAGAAGTCTCAAAATTTAACTTCACAAATTTCGACGGTTTTAAATCTAAATGTTTCACTCATGAGAGATCACTTTACCAACCTTTATTCAACTCCTTCAATAGGAACATTTGTGCATTTCAATTGAAGTTGAAATTCAACCTTATGGAATAAGATCGAGTTATCTAAGATTTCTTTCGTAACCAAAAAAAAATAGAAACATATAAACTTATTCTACTGTCCATACAATTTTTAAAAACTCTACCTCCACGAAAAATCTATTAACGTAATAAAATATAATCGCAGTCTTGACAGCCGCTCTTCAGTAACACCTCCGTATCAAAAATGAACTTAAACAGAATGCTCTATGTCTTTTATGCATGCATATAAAATTGCTTTTGACGAAATGAGGACAAATCAACAACTAGAAAGTTAAAAACTTGAAGGACGAGGACCAGTAAGAAGCGAGATCTGCCCATCTTTCTGATCTTGAAGAGGAAATCTCCTCAAACTGAGTACTGCAAAATTGTTACTTCAAATCCAGTAAATTCCAATGCTACTATCAATAATAATTTATTAAAATTTTAATAAGAAAATAAGGAAAAAAAACAGAACTGTTCGCACACTTACTGACCGGCAGAGTGAAATCGTAATTAATGAATTCGTCATTAAATATAGAAATTACTTTAGAAACACGCATTGGGAAAGACAATTAAAATGAACAAGTAAATGAATTCATTATTAATACTTTGAAAAAACAAAATTCATCAATTAAGACTAAATCGACTATTTTTTTACGAATATAAAAAAAAATGAATGATTCAAAAGAATCCAAAAAATAAAACTCGGAACAAACAGTCCATATTGAACTAACTTATCAAGCTGGAATTTAGAATCAATTCTTTATAAAAGTCAATTCCGTGGCTCACAAAAAATATATACGAATTTTGTCGGAAAATAGAAGTTTCATAACTTATATTACAGAGTAAAGCATCTTGATGAGTTTTCTTCCATGATTTTCCAATTTGGACTCTGTTCTTCCGAAGAAAGCCAACTGAAATCTTGTATGTTACGCCAGTTGTTATTTTGTGGGTCTCGCTCAAAGCCAACGACGTTATACGGTGCAACTTCTATTCCATCACAGTCTTCAATAACCAAGGCTCCACGTACCTAAATTATTTCATACAATTTCCTCACTTCTCCTTATAAAACTCAATCATAAAAATTTTTTAAGAATAGTAACATCCGTTCAACATGTAATTAGTATATTAGTGTTACTCTGTTATTCTCTTCAATTTTTTACTTTTTTAGCCACCTCTAACAAAAGACAACATATAATGCTCATTAATGAGGACAAGGAAATAACATAAAAGCATGCTGAACAGAACAGCACCTGGAAAAAAGTTTCTAAAAAAAACGGTAATACAATAAAATCAAATTTCGAAAATTTGAAACAAACTTCTACGTAGAACCGAATATGATGGCTATCGTGGATTCTAACTTGCTGCGCAGCGACTACAACTGTTAAATTTTCACAGTCTCTTATTAGAAGAGAAGTTTTAACTGGTGCAAAAATTAGAGTGGTGTGCTTCACGGACTTCATATGTACCGTCGATGCTTTGAAAGGAACGCGAACCACAGAATTAGTGACATCATTGATCATAACTTCTTCACCATCATCACCTTTCACTATCAATTCTTTCCCATGCTATAACAGAATTTTTTTTGACTTTTTAAGATATCGTATCAAAATCTAAACAGTGACATTTAATAGCATCCATAAGTAAAACACTGCACACTAATAAAAATGTACCTCCGCAGTTACTGTGACAGCACTTCGCACTAGCGATTTGGCTGTTGTCTGAATGGGGCCAAGTGGATTACATTTGGCAATTGCTGCTTTTTGTACTTTTGATTCCACAGCACCTTCCTTTCTGGTGCTAAATGAAAACGCTGACTGCTTATGTGCCAATCCAATTTGCTCCTGCATTTTGCCGCGTAGCACATTTAAAGCTTCTTTTAGACGACGTGACTGATGGCCAGGTGGAATTAGCGTCAGGGCGATTTCTAATTCGTGCAAAAATTCAGGCTCAATGTTCAGTTCTGAGGAATTTATTACACGTGTAGCTTTTGCTAGCAGTTTATCGAAATCCGCTGCATCAGTAGAAGTTTTCACCCCAGCTGTATCCCGTGCATGACGCGCTTCCAATCGTGCTAACATATGTCGACGCTTTTCGTTGACCAAGTCAGCAGATTTCAAACCATCAGTGCTTATTTCGGATTCCATTAATAAATCGGATTAAAAACTACGGCAAATACTTTCTATATACAACTAGCGAACAGTAAAACGTGAAATAAATGATACAAGTTTGTTAGGTTAGTACAGCCAACGAATCCTAATCGAATTTTCTATGATGTGTACGTCGAGGAATCCAAGGTATAAGCACTTCCGAGAATTTACGTCCGTCCACTGAAAAAATTAAACTTCATGTACCAGAAAAACAAAACCTTATTATCCAGTGAATTTCGAAATTTTAGAGTGTAGGTTTATAATTTGAATGCTTATCTAATCAGAACATCCATAAAAGAGCTTACAATTTGTCAAATGCTCGAAGTCTTCTGGATGAAGCGAGATGTAATGTTCAATAACAGCGTCACGGGTTTTGTAGTGATATTCACGAAGAGAACCAACCACGTATCCAATGCCCCCCACAAAAACTAAGAGAACGAAGCGAGGAACGAAACCTGAAATAAAGTCCAAAAGTGCAACATATGATTTCGATTCGCATTATAAATAAGTTCTCAGTAAGAAAGCTACTAAAATAAGTATTTGAATCCCTCTACTCAACGACTGATGATCGAACATCTTCCTTTCGTGTACAAATTTACATATTCACTCAAAACAAATTCACGCAGTTACTCATTTTCATTATTTTAAATAAACTAACTGTAAAAGAATGGTTTTCTCGCCCAATCCGTATAATATTTCCAAGATAATATGCCAATACCAACACCCAAGAATGTTACCCCCCAACGTCGTGGCCAAGTTGTCGGATCAACAAGTTTGAATGGTCGAGAGTTATCGCGTAAATATGTCTCACGTCGTTGCAACTCTTTCTGATCCACTGTACTGCTTTTTAACATAACCTTAATTTTATTTTTTACTAGTTCAATTCAAATAAAATGTATACATGGCAGCATTGTCGACGCAAAGTATTTTTACATCTTCAGCGCGGCTTATAAAACTAGAGAATTATGCTGCAAAAGCTGCTACAAGATTACTTTGATTTGAAGAAGAGATAATATAACTGCATGAAGGAAAATTCGAACAACACTATAAACTACGAATAATGGAGTTATAAACACGGTAAAATATAGCAGTTAGAGGGAAGAGAATCTTACTAATATACCCTAAATCATCGCGAAAACCAAAGTAAAGAGCAATATATCCTTGGAGTATTTAAGTTAACGATCAAAATGTCCCGGATACACGCCTTCTTCTCTCCATTCATCAAATTTCTGTATCCATGATGATGGACATATATCCTTAAAAGTGTTGTAGAAGAATTTGCATGGTTTGTAATCTTCACCCAACAAGTTGGTGCACCGGTAATAATCCTGATAATAATCACTGCAATGGCGTCCCATCTTTATTTGCTGATAGCGAGCATCAATCGGAGCTGACCAAAACGGTCTGTCGGAGGGGGAATCGATTTGTTTCTGATTATACTCTCGGTCAAACCATCGCGGGTCGTCTGCTGAACGGCTCAAATAATCACTCTTATTCAGCTTCTCCAGTCGTTCACTCAATGTCAACGGCAGTTCACCGAATTTACTTGATTCCCGCTCCGGTTTGTTATTCGTTTCTTCTACTGACTTCTCGGATGCCACTGTTTCCGTATTCTCTGACATCTGAATTTGCAAAAATTTTAGTCATCCCTCAATCGAAATTAAATTTCCCATACGACAGGCGCTGACCAACGCATCACCTACCCCAATGGAGTATTGCAACCGTTACCCCCTGCACATCTCGCGGAATAAACAATCAACAGTCGCAAAGAAATCAATCGCCTCGAGACAAAATACTTCGCTACAGCTTTCGGGATCATCACTAGAATTGTGACGAAGGAAGTGAGTACGAAGAAAGAGAGAATAGATCAGTGATTGCAGGGAAAATGAAATGAAGGACTGCAAACAGAGCTATAGTTGCGAATTGCACTGAAATTAATTAAATGCAGACCGTGAAAGAATATCACTGTGATAACGACGGTAGTGATAATATCATATTATTCTCAGGTAGCCCGGAACTGAGAGTGTTTTTATGATTAGAGTGGAGAGTATGAGTAATGGAGAAGGAGAGTTGGATAGATGAAGAGGGAGAAGAAAGATGGAAATTATATTAGTACTGCATATAAGAGAACATATTTGCAGATGGTTTTATATTCAGTAGGAGGGATGTGTCCGACAATTTATGTATATATTGCAGGCTTCGATAAATTATGTCATCTTTGAAACGGTCATCGAAAGTCGGTCAACGTATTCATCGTGAACGTCCTCAGGTTTGTTACATCATCACATTTTCCTTTCTTGGCGAAATTAAATTACAGTTGTAGGTAAATGGAATTTCATGATTCACCATTGAGAGTGGCAATGGTATTTAAACATCGTTGAGTTCTGTTCTATGATTCCATTTGAATAATATGTAAAGAAGGGAAATTTACAGCCAGAATCGCGAGCACAATTTGGTCTTTTGGAGAAGAAGAAGGATTATGTTCAGCGCGCTCGAGATTACAATTACAAGAAAGAGAAGTTACGAAGCCTGCGACAGAAGGCATTGAATCGGAATCCGGATGAATTCCATTTCCATATGATTCGAAGCCATGTTGGAGTAAACTTTCCGTTCTTTTCACCCTTATGCCGTTTACTTGATTGTATCGTATACAGTTATTTGATTTGATGACATTTCTTTCAAGAATTATGAAAAAATTTTTTCCCTAACATCGGATTTTGCAGGATGATGGAGTACATCACGAAAATACCCCAGAACCTGATGAAGACACATTGGTGCAAAAGAAATTAAAGGATTTAGAGGATTTGAAATATGTGAAACATCGATTGAATGTTGAAAACCAAGTAATTTTACTTTCTTAGTTTTATATTTGAATTATTGTAGAAATGGAAAGAAATGTTTCCGAACGGTGCTTAGAATTTATTGTTGACTAATGCAGACTAAGATTATAATAGATGAAGAGTGAAAGTGGCAAATTTTTTTCATTAAAACATCCTCTTTGTAAATCCTCAGTATGTGGAAAACATCGTTTCTAGCATATTTTCGATAATTGTTGTTTATGTCTTTTTTAGAAGATTGAAAAACTGAGAGCAACCTTACATTTTGCGGACACTGTAGTTGCGAAAAATACCCATACCATTTTCGTGGACACAGAACAAGAAGGTTCCAATGTTTTATTATTTTTCAAGAGTTTTGAACTTCTGTTTATTTCTCTCGCGAAAAGTAACTAATTCCAAATAACTAATTCGGATATAAGTAAGTTAAAGTAATGCTTTGTAGACTGACGTTGTGGACTGTTTTTGAGAGTCATGGTCCTTATTTTATTTTATGGATGGCATGCTGCGAAGAATTTCAGTGAATTTTTAGTCCTGAGCTTAAAAACCAACTGAATAATCCCCATTACACTTTTCAAAGCAATCAACTATCGTTTTTAATATCGTTGAGTTTTATTTGTGGAAGTGATCTATTTGGTTCATGAGTTCATTTATTTATTAGTCAAGACTTCCATGGGAAATATTTCATATTAGTTAATCTGAACAACATCTTTTAGCAAAAAGTTTTGATCCGGTAAAGTATTTCAAGACGCCGAAAGAAGTTTTGGATAGAAGGTATAATCGACCACGTATTTCTACTCTTCAGAGTAGCGCTATCATAAACGCCGGAAAAAAAGATGATGTGAAGGTATGCTCGTAAGACTGGTTTTTTTGCAGTTTTAGCTGTATGAATTGTATTATTATTATTCTTTCGCTTTCTTTTTTGAATTCATTCCACCCAGTTACTTATTGGTCTTTGTTTTTTGATTTGATATGATATTACCAACTGCATTTGACTTTCTTTCATTCTATATGTGCCGATTTCAATAATATTTTTTCTTTACAGCCAATTTTTATTCTTGTGAAGTGCATAATATTCCCGTTTTGTTCTTCGTTAATTCAATCGTTATTTCCAAGTCTGAAATTTAAAAGTTAACTTAGCAGACTGAACCGTGTATTTATATATTTGCAAATTATAACTGCATAGTTCCTTAGTATGATTTGTTCACTTCACCTCTAGAACATGAATCATTAATTTTTTTTTAGCAAGCAGATCACGAGCGGCGAAAGATGTACAGTGAACTATTGAAAAGGATGCAACGTGCCAAAGAATTGAAGATCGTTGTTGAGAAATTGGAAGTTAGAAGGAATGTAGCAGAAAGTAAAGGGAAGGAACTGCGGCCCAAAAAGGTGTATTGCATTGTTTGTATTGAAGTTCAGGATTTTTATTAGCTAATAAAAAAATTTTTTGTGAAATGTTCTTTTACGCATATTTTTTTCTCATTAATTTCTAAATAATTTCATCTCAACTGCTTTTTTCTTAAGCTTTTCCTTGTTTAATTTCAGTGTTCTGGCCAATAATTATTATGTTCTGATGTGGTTTATTTAGTTATGCTTTTAGATAGCTAAGGGAGAACCGATGAAAGCCCCAATATATAAATGGATTTATGAACGAAAAAAGTAATTGCTTCCGTTATTTCCTATTGTTCTTTTCTGATGGAATAAACATTTAGATTATAATGATGAAAGTCATTTTCACCGTTTTTTTTTAAAGCGAAGATTTCGTACATACATGATATGATATTGAATATCAGCATAATGTGCAATGTAGAATTGCACTGGCGTTGTGCCATGAATTTTCGTTTCTATCTCATTTATTAAGATCGAAAAGACGACTTAACTCTTGTGATTTTAAGTGTTATAAGTATTTACGCCTCTGTTATCATAGAACTGCATGGGTTACATAAGGTTTTGTCATTGAAGCCAATGTCGTAAGTCTGGCCACCATCTTTTTTTGGATAGAAACTTCAGGATGATGTATTGTTTCAGTTTCGAATTGGCAACAAAGTTATTTTACAATAAGAAATAAGGCATTTTAAAGAAAAGTAAATATTTGCGAAAATGTGAGAAAAGGTAAATATCCATTTAGTCAACAATTTGGTATGTTTAGGGATCATTTGACTGTGGTTTCATTAAGCTGTCATTGTCTGCTGTTATCATTATCATTGCACTAAAATCCGATCCACCAGACTCATTACCCGGACTTACTGACCTGAAAAGAATATGATTATATTTTTTTCCTTATTTAGCGTTTTTGAAATAACCATTACCCATCGTATAATACATGGAAAATAATTTCGTAATTTCTGTTATAGTTCACATACCCACCTGTTCTCCAAATCATATCCTTTAAGGATTACCTTTGATAATTAGATGATTATTTTTCTGAATTAAAAAAAAATATTAACCTCTGTGATAAGTCAGTACCGAGATCGTTTGATACAGTTTTCTTTATATAAGACGAATTAGAACCCGTACTAAAACTGTTTGATGCACGTCTCATACGTCGCATTTCTCCATAAAAACCATCTCTCACCGATGAAAATACCTAGAGTTTGAAATTTTTTGAGCAATTTTATAGCTAGAAAAATTGTGGAAAAAGAAGTAAACAGATAAAGTTTTCAACAACAGTATTAAAATATCAAAAAAATTAGCATCCGTACGATTGTATTTTGAATTCTAATTTTAAAATTTAAACCACGGCGATGAATGATGAAAATGCAGCAAGTGTTTGATGCGCAGGATGTATAGCATTGTCCAGGAATATACATTCAGTTATGGTAGCATCAGCATAAGCTCCGAAAAATTCAGGCTTAAAACCTAAAGCTCGAAATTTGACATGTTTGCCACCGAATTCTTCTGCCAATCTTTGAACCTATAAAAGATTGAACTTATGAAAACTTCAAAAATTCTTTTTTGTTTTTAGAAATTACAAATCCAGTTGTTAAATATAATGAACGTAAAATTACAATTAAATTTTAGAATGATTAATTTGCAGCTCATTAAACGAAATTTTGATTCGTTTCGAATTGATTTAATTTTCAATAAGAATAATGATACAAATGATAAGATCTGATAAATTTTTTAAACTATGTCAGTGATAAATTTTTTAAACTATATCAGTGAAAAATTTTGAAGCTTAATTAATGCTAATATTAATGGCTTAAATTTTCATTTAAAAAGTTAATTAAATTTCAAAATTTTTAATTAAAAATTTTTCCAAAAATTATTTTGCCTAAATTTTGAATAAATTCTAGGAAATTGAAATAGTTCCTGCAATACATGCAATAAATCGTGCCATAACTTACTTCATCCATAAAATTAATATTTGCAACAGTTTTCTTTAGAAGTACTTTAATTCTCTCTTCGATATCATCCCTTTCATCGTTACTTAATTTTGCATAGAAATTTGCGAAGCCATTTCGTTTCTCATAAGCTCGTTTTAAAATTTTATGACCAATAATTTCATGTGGATTTTGGAAACAACTCTAAAAGTATTATTTGTGTGATTTCCTCTTTTGTTACTTAATTATTAGTAAACGAAAATAATTTGATCGAATTATTCGGATATTATTAATAGAGTGAAAATAGTAATAAAATTTATTTTGACTAATTATTTCAAAACAAATTTTAGAAAAATCTTTTGTTGAAATTTATTTTATTTTATTTATTTAATTTATTTACTTTTATTGTTTACATAATAATTGTTATAATTAATTTATATTTAAAAATAAATATATTATTAGTTGCATTAATTGTCTAATTCAAATCATTCATTAAATTTCTTACAATCACTGATAAGAATTATTTATTGGATTAATCTGTTCAAATTAGTTCTTAATCATCGAAAGTTATATTTATATATTAACAATATTTGATTACTACAAAACTATCACTAAGATTTTATAATTTAGGAATTTTTCAAATTTCCGTTTATACTTGCAATTAGCATAGTTATTTGTTTATTTATTTATTTGTTTACCTGAATGGTATTTCATAGGACAATTTACATATTATTTATTCTTTCTTTATTTCATTCTTATGATAAATAATTTTATTTCATTTCATTTCACTCTCTCTCTCTCTCTCTCTCTCTCTCTCTCTCTCAAATAAAATAATTTGCTCTGAAAGTTTAACAAAAATTAGTTTGCTATTTGCAATCAAATTTTTTAGTAGAATAAATTTAATTTATTAAAATTTCAATCATTAACTTTTCGTGATTTCGCTTTTTCATACATTTTCACTTTACCTTCCATTCTTCTATTGTCAACCTTAATTAATTAATAATTTAATTTTAAAATAAACTTTCTATTTTTATTTATTTTTTAATTTTTTATTAGAAATTAAGAAAGAAATTCTTGCAAAACAAACAAATTATTTATTCTTTTTGAATATAAAATCTTTTCCAAAATTTTTATGAAATATTGCAAATTGCTAGAACTTAATGAAACATTAAAATTTCTTCCTTTTTTATCCTTAACAAATGATTCACTCGAGATAACTCGGGAATTTCTAGTTGTAATGCTTCGGTTATTATCGAGAGATGATCTCATCATAACTTACAAATCTATCTTCTTCTAATTTCCTTCTTATCTCCACTTCCCACAAATACTTCTACTATTTTAATATATCAAAAATCCGTTTAAAATTTAATATTCGAAAAAGTAAAAATAATTTTCATCTTTCCAAGAATTTCTCTTTTTTGATGAAAAATTGAAAACAAGTAAGCGTGGAAAATTTATTCCAAAATTTAAAAAGTGAAATAATTGCTTTCTTCTTCATAAGTAATTTCTATTAATAAGCAATTATTCGAATTTTTTATGACTGTTTGAACTTCAATTTATTACTAAGTGCAATATACCTGAATAAGATTTCGATCACGGATTGGAATTGGATGTCTTTGTTTCGGTATACTTCGTGAACTGCATGTACTTGCTGAACGACTGCAATTATTACTTAATTCTACAGAAGATCTTGATGAATTTCCCGTTCGGGTACCAAAATCTATAAATATCGTAATTAATAATAATAATATATATAATAAATCATAAATTATTTCATTTCTGATTAGTATAATTAGCAAATTCTGTTGGCAAAGATTTTAAATGCAATTTCGAACTTACGAGAAGCATTTTTATTTATTAACTTTTCATATTTATTTAACTCTCATTTATACACCTTACTCTATACATCTATTTGACCCAAAGAAATACACAAAAAAGAATACATAAATAATTTTTGAATAAAATCAAATTGAACATTACATTTTGCAACTTAGATGATATAAAAACTAAGTAACCTAAACGGCAAAAATAGTTTGTCTCACATTTTTTTCATTTTTAAATTTTGTTTTGAATTTATGAAAGCTATAAATTGGCTTGGCTTCTTCATGTTATTACTTTCTTTTCAGAACTAATTTATAGCAAAGAACAGAAAAGTAATAATGTTTAACTTTTCAAAAATGTCCCACGCTCGATCAATTAAAACTATTAATTTGAGGTACAAGCAAATTTTAATTAATTTTATTATAAAGGTAAATATTAACTTTTCAATTTTTTTTAATTGCTTTTAATCTAAAATGAAATTCTAAACAGAGTACGATATAATGCTGACATTTCGATCATATATTATAAATTTTACTTACCAACATTGAGTAAATTATCAGAACAACTGATTGAATTAGAAGGTTTAATTTTTAAAGGAGTGATATGTTGCGTAGTTTGATTCACTACTGATTTTTTAGCTTCTCTTGATTTCGAACGTCGAATTTTCGATCCTTCACCTCCCATAGATAATAAATTGCAAATCTTCTTCCTTCAAATTTCACTCATCAATTATGTTTGAAACTATTTTTTAATAGTTATATTAAAATAAATTAATGAAATATAATTAATTATTGTATTTATTTAGTAAGCATCGTTTTTGCAAAATTTCTAATCCCTTTAAAAGAATTAATTATTTGATGTAATTTTTCCATGGAATAAATTTTTATCGAATTAATTTTTATTGATAAATTATTCGATGTAATGGATTATATGAGAGAATAGTAAAACAAAGAAGTAGTGATTAAGAAAATATAGAAAATATTAAATTTTAATTTAAAAAATTTTACATTAAAATGTTCTTACAGTAAGAATATATTTTACATCGATAAAAAAAATTAAATGATCAGTGATAACTGATATGGTAAATCGTGAAATGTATGATAACTTAGTTATTTTGTAAATTCATACAAAAATGGATGAAAGAACGTAACAATCGAGAAGATGGAAAAATGCGATAGTATCATATAGTTGTAATTTTATTAGTTTGACACGAGTTTGTTGAAAAAGTTGCCGACGATTCATATTAGTTTATGTGAAGATGAATATCATTGTATTATAGAGAATACAAAACGAAGCGATTTTAAATTTACAAATTTGAAATTATTTACGGGAAGAATTTAATTTTTAGTTTATTTCTTTTTCTTTTATTCTATTCTAAAATATTTTTCTGTTTTGAAAAAGACGAAAAAATTTCTTACCCAATTTTAGAGTTATTTTCAAATTTTTCATATTTAAATTTCATGCATAATATGTAAGAGATATTGTAATAATCTAAATGGCTTGTATTTTGCTAATTAATAATCAAATTAATAAGAGAATTAAACCAAAAAAACAAAAGGAATAATTTCTTATCAGAATTAATGTATAATAAATTTTAGGCTAATGCAAAATATATTATCAAAAATGTATTCATTATGTTGAAAAAATGTTCTCCCTGCTCGAAGTGAAATGTTATTTCGATGAAATTGAAATTTTGTTATATTTACTTTCTTAAATTGTAATAGAAGATTTTTACCATTATTCCCTTGGCAGCATAAACTTCTTTCGAATGTTTATTTAAGTCCTTTCACTAATTCAACTTATCAGCTAAAAATTTCTTATTCTCGCTTAAGCCTCTTTTTCACGCATACATTTCCTATCTACTTAACGAATTAAATTTAATCGTTGTTTATTATTATTTATTATTATTATTTATTATTATTATTATTATTATTATATTATTATTATTATTGTTATCATAAGTAATAATAATAGCAATAATAGTAATAACAGCAATAATAATAATAATAGTTCCCATAATAATTTATGGAAAATATTATTTATGTGCTGGGTCTAACGTCAATTAAATCAAAATGACAAAACAGCGAATATCGGGAGATTATCGGGCAAATATATTGAATTAGAAGAATAGAATAGGATATAAAGAAATTCACAAATTTTGTGGTAAAACTATTTCTAAGCGTATTTATAAAAGACTTAATGATATTTCTTACTTAAATCTACTCATCAATACAATTTAAGTCATGTATTACTTAATTTAAAGCACAAAAGAAAATGAAAATGTTTAATGAATATCATAGATTATGTTCTGAATGAAATATACTTATTAATAATTTTTTAAATAAGTAATTAGCATAAATACTAAGCTAACATTCCTTCCAATCCATTCATTAAGCTCTATTTTTTTTCACTTTTTTCCTTCAATACCTTAAATTAATTAATACATTGTTTAAATTATGTTAATAAACAAATTAGGTTCAGAAATATCATTTATTTTCCTATAAAATTATTTCGAAATAATTTCAAAAATTAACAAAGTTTCCTAATTTACATTACATCTTATTTAGGAATGTTAGGCAATTAAATTAAAAAAAAATCACTAATTAATTTCTGGCACTTTTCTTTGTTCTAATTTACATAATAAACAGATTGTTAATGAATAAGAGAAAAGTAAAAATATTATAGCATTTAATTTTTTATCATTTTACCATAAATAGAAAAGAGAGAGAGAGAGAGAAATGAAGAAGGGATGATGATCAATGAATGAAAGAAAGCTATGAATTGAATTTGTATTTAATTTCCTCGTTGAATTTCACTTTCAGTAGGATTAAAATAATTGTGCAATAAAATTATTGCTGCCGTAATATCATCACAAAAATGCGTTGTTCTCTTTAATTTCATTTAAATTTGCTAACTTCAATTTTAAATTAAATTATTTTATAATGTTTTTTTTATATTAGAAATAAAATAAAAGACTTTCTAAATAAGGCATCATTGATATTCGAATATATTAGAATATTTTCAAAATAAAGAAAAGAAAACAGAAAAGAAAATTTTTGATTATTAAATTAAAATTTAAATTAACTCATCAAATTGTTGTTGCAATTGATAGTGACAATGATAGTGATAATAATGATTGATGAGGACAATGATAATATTAATGATAGTTGTTATAATAACAGAAATAACAATAATTTGAATAGAAGAAAGATAGATAAGCTAGCATCTTTTATGATGCTTATATGAGAGATTATTCTTCAATCAATAATTTGTTTACATTTTATTTAATTTACATTTAAATTTGTAGTTCTATTTAATTTTGTTATAATTTATTTTCTTCTAATTCTGACATATTACTCAAAGTGCAATTCAATTTGAATTAATTCCTATTTGATAAAATTTAATTTTATTAATGGCAATTTAAATTATATCAAATGTTTTAGCAAAGAAATTAATTTGATTGAATTCTCACCTTGAAGTTAAACAATATATCCAATTTATTAATTTCACTATGATTAAAAATTATTGATATGATCAGTTAATGACACTCTACATTTTCATTCCTATTGAATAATAACAAACTTCTATCGAAGTAAAGTTAAACCATTACAAACTATCAAAGTTACATAAGTAGACGTTATGTGTTTTCGTTTTCTTCCTTTATTTGCAATTATAAAAATGGTAATTATTCAATAATTAAAATTCAAAAATTTTGCTTACAACATAGAAAAGACAAATTACATATTTATAAATAAATAATAATTGATATTATGAAAAAATTTCAACGAAAACTTTTTCAATAAAAAGAAAATTTTAATTTCCATAATATCAATAAATAATAATTTAAATATTTTTTTAAGGAAATTCTTTTATAATTTTAAAATATTTTTTTTTAATAAATAATAAATACGAAAAATATTAGAAAGTTTGGCATTCTGACAGCTATAAATTTGCCTTTTCTTTAGCAATCAAAGAAAAGAGAAAGAGAGAGAATAATTTATGGAAATTAGACTATTTCAGGCAATTTCAAAATTTAATAGCTTTGTAAAATTGTTTTAATAGGTTACTTTGGTAATGAAATTTTATTGATTTAAATTTTAACAACGATATTTTATTCTTTTTATAAGCATTGCTTAGAGCTATTTGTCATTGTTCGTTTCAAATTTGTTCTAAATTTCCAAAATCTTCAAATTTGAATTTTGATTAAATTAGACTATTTGATTAAACAAAACAGCATCAAATCAAATCGATCGAATTTATTATTCAAAACGAAAAATATTATTATTTTATGCTAATTTGAAATGAGCTAACTTTTTATAAATAATTAATATTTTCTCTGTTCAATTAATTATATTTAAAAATTAATCCATTCTATAAGAAGAAAAGATGTAAGTAAGAAATTGAATATTATCTCTATTATCATTATTATTATTATTATTATTATTATTATTATTATTATTATTATTATCTTCCAAAATTATGGTAAACAAAAGTTCCCTTCTATTTTTTATAGAGAAGTTAAAGTTTAAAAAGAAATTTATCTATTAAGAAATTATTATTTCAATACTAAAAATATTTTCTCTCTTCTTTAAAAAGAACTGGAAGCAAAGAAACGAAAGAAAAATGAAATGTTCAGATAAAGGAAATTGAAATTTCATTTGTCGAATCGATGAAAGAATGATAATAATTAATCCTTCATTAATTAAACTTAATCAAATCAAAATTTTTTTTAATTTCAAATATTCTAAATAAATATTTATATATATTCTATTCATATATATATATATATATAATATTCATATATAAATACTCTGAATAAATATTCAAATAATTGTTATTCACACTTATCAAAAGATATAAAATAACTTTTGAAATTATTTATCAAATTAAATAAGGTAAGAAAATTTAAAAATAATAATAATTTTTGTATATTCGTTTTTGCAGAATTTAAAAATGAAATTAAAATTTACTTGCATTTTTTAATTTTCAATTTCTGATCTTTGAAACAATGAACAATCGTTAAACATCAAACGAACTAATTTCAATAAATAAAAGAATCATTTCGCTTTAATCTATCTTTCATTTATAGTTTAATTTTTTCCATTTCAATCATTAATTAGAGGATAAAATTGTAATGACTCATATCTTATCATTTAAATTATAAAGAATGAATCATTCTATTAATTCCAAACTTTTTAAAAAAAATTATTTCTTATCCCAAATTACACTTCCCCTTAAAAATTCATTTAATTTAAATATTAAACAAATAAATCGTTGTTTTACTACACTAAATAATCATTCATATAAATATGTAATGATTAAATTTATCAATAAGAAAAAGTAATCGAGAAGTTAACTTAATTATATCATTAAATTATTCCAACTTAATTATATCATTGGAAATGATTACGAATAAAAAAAGCATAAAAGAGGTGGAAGACAAAGAAAAGTATTCACGATAAATGATTAGGGATAAGTTTGAAGAAGCGATATATGTTTTGCATATTATTATAATTGTTAGATTAAATATTTAAATATATCTTTCAAGTTCAATTTTATAAAAATAATTGAGAAAGGTAAAAAAAAGAAAAACGATGATTCATATTTAATTAAGAAATTCGAATTGTTTTTGATAGAAACAATTGATGAATGAATGAATATTTGGATGATAAAAGCTTGCAAGA